AGCAACTTCTTGATAGACACGTCTCCAAAGGCCTGGGAAAAAAGAGCAAAAATGAACTTGGGGCTTCATCAAGATACAGACCTTTCACATGGCAAAGGAAAAGAGTCAACAAAATGAAAAGACAACTGACAGAATGGGAGTAGGTATTTGCAAATGTTTTATCAGTTAAAGGGCTAGTGTCCAAAATCTATGAAGAACTCATCAAACTCAACATCCAAAAAAACAAATAATGCAGTCAAGAAATGGGCAGAAGACATGAAAAGATATTTCTTCAAGAAAACATACAAATGGCTAACAGACACGAAAGAATGTTCAACATCACTTGGCATCAGGGAAATACAAATCAAAACCACAATGAGATACCACCTTACACCAGTCAGAATGGTAAAAATTAGCAAGTCAGGAAATGACAAATATTGGTGAGGACATGGAGAAAGGGGAACACTTTTACACTTTCGGTAGGAATACAAGCTGATACAACCACTCTGGAAAACAGTATGGAGTTTCCTCAAAAAGTTGAAAATAGAGCTATCCTACAACCCAGCAATTGCACTACTGTGTATTTACCCCAAAGATACAAATGTAGTGATCCAAAGGGGCACCTACACTCCAGAGTTTATAGCAGCAATGTCCACAATAGCCAAACTATGGAAAGAGCTGAGATGCCCATCAGCAAATGAATGGATAAAGAATAAATAAATAAAAGAGATGTGGGGTGTGTGTGTGTGTGTGTGAGAGAGAGAGAGAGAATGCAATGGAATATTACTCAGCCATAAAAAGTGAACTCTTGCCATTTACAAAGACATGGATGGAACTAGAGGGTATTATTATTATTATTTTATTTAATTAAATTTTTTTTCAGTGTTCCAAGATTCATTGTTTATGCACCACACCCAGTGCTCCATGCAATACGTGCCCTTCTTAATACCCACCACCAGGCTCACTCAACCCCACCACCCTCCTCCCCTCCAAAACCCTCAGTTTGTTTCTCAGAGAACTAGAGGGTATTATGCTAAGTAAAATAAGTCCATCAGAGAAAGACTATGATATGATCTCACCCATGTGGAATTTAAGAAACAAAGAAGAGGATCATAGGGGAAGAGAGGAAAAAATAAAATAAGACAAAATCAGAGAGGGAGAATAAACACAAGAGGCTCTAAACCATAGGAAACAAACTGAGGGTTGCTGGAGGGGAGGGTGGTAGGGTATGGGGTAATGGGGTGATGGACATAAAGGAGGGCACGTGATGTAATGAACACTGGGTACTGTATAAGACTGATGAATCACTGGCCTCTACCTCTGACACTAATAATACATTATATGTTAATTAATTGAATTTGAATTTAAAAAAAGAAACTTTTTTGGTTCCTGCTAACACCTGCAGCTTTGGACAACAGAGAAGGGATTTCCAAAGTCCAAAGTTAGAGGGTGCATCTGGGGAGATGGTTCTTTATATCCCTATATCTTTATATCCCTTTATATCCCTTTATATCCCTTTATGTATATATAGGAGATACATGTCCCTATGAATCACTACATGTTCTCCTGAATGTCTCTGTGAAGGAAGGCTTTGCAGAATCCAAAATCCATGTCTTCACTAATTTTTCACTCTCTGGGGTGTAGAGGACACATTCTTACTTATGTTTTCTAAAAACAGAGATAATTAATTATATATCCTGGTGGTCAGACCCTCAGATTCCCTAGAGTTGATCAATCTTGGAATTTTCCTTTTTGGTCCATGAGGAAAACACACAGGAGGGTCTGAAAGACCGAGCACAGGATAAACAACTGATCATAGAAAACCCTGCCTTTCGCACTTCCAAACAGCCTGTCAGCATACAGAATCTCATAAGCATTGAGTTTCTATCATGTGCCAAGTGTCAGGATGGGCATGTTGCCTACGTTAACATTTTAAATCCTGCAAACCACCCATTTGCAGATGATTTGATGGACATTGACACTCACAAATTAGAAGGACACTTTGCACTACAGTCTTCACATCATGAGCCCATACTCTCTCCTTGGTACACATTGTGACTTTTCCCTCAGGTGACATAGCACAAAATACATGGGCTTCCCCTATAATATTTTGGTTATTTTGGTATGTGCACCGTTTAGGGCAGGAGTGGTGAATATCTTTTCTATGGAGGAAAAACATGCATATAAAAACAATAGAAGATGACAGACTCATAAGAAAAGCAACTTACTAGCTAAATATATGTTAACATTTTCATTAATCATATTAAATAAATATTTAATTTTAATTTGATATAAATTTTAAGTCAACATAATATAAAACGTTTAGTTCACTTGCTTTGAAACAGCATGGAACTGAACATTTATTAAATAGGTAAAATAAATAGTAAAATGGTACAGCAAAGTTGATTCTTAATTCCTGTTATGGCCAATTAAAGGGAAGAAAGACACCTACATTAAGAAATAAGCTGAGTGAAATAAGTCAAGCAGAGAGAGTCAATTATCATATGGTTTCACTTATTTGTGGAGCATAACAAATAGCATGGAGGACATGGGGAGTTAGGAGAAGGGAGTTGAGGGAAATTGGAAGGGGAGGTGAACAATGAGAGACTCTGGACTCTGAAAAACAATCTGAAGGGTTTGAAGAGGTGGGGGGGTGGGAGGTTGGAGGAACCAGGTGGCGGGTATTAGAGAGGGCACGGATTGCATGGAGCACTGGGTGTGGTGCAAAAACAATGAATACTGTTATGCA